ATTACCAGGTGATTTTATTTTTATTTTTGGACAGGGTGTCCCTAACCCCAGCTGGTCTGGAACTTGCTGTAAAGACCAGGTTGGCCTCCATCTGACAGAGATCCTCCTGCCTCTGACTCCCAAGTGCGAGATAAAAGGCAGCCTTCACGCTTGGCCCAGACAATGATTCTTTTATTATCAGTTGTGCATTGAATGCTGTTTTGTTTTCTAAATTTCCCAGTGAGAAATGACTGTGTAATTTTATAATGGAAAAATAAGACATTATTTATGTACTTACTCAATTGAGGTAATCCTGAGGATTTTCTGTTCTAGGCAAAAACTGATTGGAACGAACAAATGGCTGTGACTGTTAGGCTTTGCTCAGGATATTTACATTCCTTCCTAGATTATTCTTTCAGCATTTCCTCGAAGGAACTGTGAGAGCTTCTTAAAATGAAGTAGGAAGTGACCTGATGAGATCTCTGGTTCAGAAATGTAACTAAACAAATTGTAGACTGTTCTCTGGTGAGGGTGGAGGTGGAAAGCAAGTGGGACCCTTTCCAGCAGCCCGGGAGGAGGGTGTGCTGCTCTTGAGCTGAGACAGTGACCTGGAGAGGAAGAAGCAGATGTGGGAAATAGGCACTTCAAAATAAACATGTCCAAAATTAAACTGCCTTTGTAAACTTGACATTCCTCTCCTACCCAGCAAATCCACTTCTCCCCCATAGCTTTCTTAGTAATTGGCCTGGCCATACCACCTTACTGACCAAAATAAAAACCATTTCTTCATTTTCTTCATCTCCTCCTCCTCCATCCCCAGTGATATTAGTTGTTTTTCCTAACCATCTCTTAAATCTGCTCATTCCTCTCTGCCCATTGTTTTAGAGCACCATTATCTTCTGCTTGAATATTTTGTGATTTTTTTTGAGACAGGCTCTTCTTGTGGCCCCAGCTGGCCTGGAACTTACTATAAAGACCAGGCTGGCTTCGATCTCACAGACATCTGCTTGCCTCTGCCTCCAGAGTACAGAGATTAAAGGCATGTACCACCACATCTGTCTCTGCTTGAATTTTTTTTTATTAGAGTTTCCAAACTCCTTCCCTTGTGTTACTTCTTTCTCTCTGCCAAACTGTTCCATCAGAGTAGTTTTCCAGAACTGAACATCTGATCCTCAGCCTCAGTGGCTGCTCTTGGAAGCAGTGCAACCTCTCGACTTCCAAGGCTATGCCATGTTAGACCTCACCTACCTTGACATCCTTGTTCCTTACAGCTCTTTCCCAGCTTCTGCTACAGCCTTACTTCTCCTAGATCTCTCCAGCTTTCCAGGTCACTGTTACCCCAAAATCTTCCCTCACACTATTCCGTCTACTAAGACACTCTCCTTTCTCCTCCTCCTCCATACCTCCTAATTTCACTATATTTTTATTTATATACCACAGTGCTATGAGCCTTCCTAAGCCTTAGGTTAAATTGAACTTCAAAACATGTTGGATGCCTCATGCAGTGAACTTATATGGGAACCTAGAATATTTGCTTGTGTTCTGTACCATCCAGAAAATGATCTGTGGTAGCCATGCCTTCAGTTTGGAATAAATGAATTTCTTAAGGACAAAGCAAACAAAAGTAGAAGAATAAGTACCAGTATCAGGGAGAAGCAGCAGGTGATAGCAGAACATGATCAGATCAGATGCTCCCAGCAGCCAGCAGAGCCAACTGGAATAGCCCAGCTGAGGGAGCGAGCACAAGCTAACAGCAAATTGGAGGCTTAGGAACCTCCCCCAGAAACCGTTTGCCCTGTTGAGGCAGCAGCTGGAGTTCCTGACTAAGAAAGTATCCCCTTGGTGAGGTTTCCAAGTAAAAGAACAAATGGCAGCAGGTAGATAATATCTTCAATTTGGAAACTTAAACTCATCCAGTAGAAACTGACCGGGGAAGGCCTGAAATAGGTGTGCTGGGATTTCTAATCGAAAGTCCAGGGACGGGACAGCAGAACAGTCTGTCCACAGATGAGTTTCTGCATTTTCTTTCCTACCATAGGCATTTTTATATCATATAAACAACAGTAACTTCTATTCTATTGGAAATGGTCTGCTTTCTAGCTGTTCTCAAGGACAGTGTTGTTGTTTTTTGTTTTTTTTTTTCTCATGGATCGTTTTATTTTATCAGTTTTCTTTGGTACAGAGTGAGTAGGCTAGCTTACCTCAGGACAGGGAGTTTTGGAAGAGACAGAGGAGGGCATTCTTTCTCCCACAGTCCACTTTTAGCAAGCTGGACAGCACATAACAATTAACCAATATAATGTATATTCCAGCCTGATGGTGTTCCGTACCAAACTATAAGCTGAAGTGTAGCCAGGGGCTGTAGATACTGTATGTACCATCATATCTAGCTCTACTAGGGCAGTGTTATCAGTGTAGCCAGGTACTTGTGTAATTGATGAATTGGACAAGAAGGGACAGGATTGAGGGGGGAGAAGATAGGAAAAAAAAATGTTTTATACACTGAGACTGCAAAGGTCCTGGTGATATTTTGAATGAAGTTAGGGGAAGTGGAAAATATAAAAACTATTCTAAGATTCTTTCTCTGAGCAGTGGGATACATAGCAGTACTGTTATACTGGGGTCAAAAAGGAAGACAAGTTGATTTGAGTGGGAGCCTAAGAAGCTAGTCATGATACCTGGTTCAGTTGACAGGAATGAGGAATCTCAAATGAGCTTAGCAAGGAAGAGTGAGCTATGTGTGATGACAGGTCACAGTGGGTGAGATTTCCCAGAGTGTGTGGCTCAAGAATACAGAGTGTGTTAAGAAGACAGGGTTCTAGGGACCCTAACATTAAAGGGACACAGCAAGGAGCTCCTGGGGGCAGCTGGGAGCTTAGCCTACATCTATAGGGTACTCTAAGCTCCAAAGTGCTGCTTAGAAAAGGGTGGCTGATTAGAGAAGAGGAACCCTGTAGTAGCTTCATTGCTTGTAGGAAATCTTTCCTGTTTCTAACAGTATAATGCATTTGTGATGTTTGCTTGTTGCTATGATCATTGAATTTGAAAGACCTAAAAAAAAATGACACAGACATTTTAGTCATCTGATTTTATCTATTTAAAATTTTATGTTTATTCCAGCATGCCATTTGAAGCTTATATAGCTGTCGTAATTGACATGCAAATGTGCAAATGTGCTTTTCCTTCTTTGTGCTCCTATGCTAGGTTTGAAATTCTTTGGGGTGAAGCCCAGCTAGATCCTGAGGAGAGTCCTAAAAGGAGAAATGACCCAGTATTCTTACTTTAGTAAATTTGTCAGTTTGACATTCTGCTCTGATAACTTAGAATTTTTAGTAGGTGAAATAAATTGGATCATTCACCAAATTTGTACAGTTTTATAAGTTCATAACTTCCCACAGACTCATTAATCAGTATGCCTATTAATCCAGTCACTGTTTATGTTTTCCTAGGATTTTTTTTACCCCTTTTCTGTTTCCAAATTTTCTATGATCATTCATTTGGCAAACACTTACTTGAGTGCATTGTTTATATCTGGTACTGTGCTCAGCTCTGCAAATATAGTGGTAAGCCATGAAAGACAAAAGGGTCCTGTTTGCAGTACTTAATGCGTACATTCAGCTGGTTTGAATTTCTAATTTCTAACCTTGGTGCTTGTTGAATACATTCCTTCATAAGATATTTGAGTATATAATGAAAATTTCAGTAATAGTACCTTCTTTTATGTTGGGCTTAGGCTATTTGGGCACTATACATTGCCCTGATCTATTTAATTTTTTTTTATTAGATCTTAGAAGTAGTAAAGAGGTAACTTAAGGCCCAGGTTGCCTAAATGAATCTCATACTGAAAAACATAATCCATTACATAGGCGCTAAAAACATGAGCATCAGGATCAGACACGTCTGGATTGGAGCCCTGGCTCCATGGTGATGTGTAGTGTGATTGCACATTGCTTCACTTCTCTGAGCCTTGATTTCTGGATTTGTGAAGTTGGAACAGTCCTACTTCCGAACTTATGGGGCTAGCTCAGTGAGATGGTTAAGTGAAATAACACAGAAATACTTAACATAGATCCTGACATGTAAGAAATTGATGCTATTATTGATGTTGCCTATAACGCAGAACTCGGCTTTTTAATTGTTGCTCTTCCCACACAACCTGGTTTTTAGATCATGCTGCTTTATTTGTATTCTACCTCTAAGTGAAAATGTTCACATAGGAAAATAGTATAGGAACTTGGTCTCCCTTCTGCAGGACAGTGCCTTCAGCATCTGAGTGGGAAGAATCGAAGACATGTCTAAAAGAGCTCATATCATTGAATTTTATTAATGGACCTCATTTTAGGTTTCCAGAGTTTTATAGTATTAAAAAGTATGATGAGGGGCTGGAGAGATGGCTCAGCAGTGAAGAGCACTGACTGCTCTTGCGGAGAACCAGGGTTTGATTCCCAGCACTCACATGGCAGCTATGAACTGTCCTTAACTCCAGTTCCAGGGAAATCTGAAGCCCTCTTCTGACCTCCGTGGCATTGCACAACATGGGTGCACTCACATACATGCAGGCAATACACTCATACACATAAAATTTTTTTTTAAAGTGTGATGAAAGAAAATAGAATGTGGGATTAAAACAAGAAAAAGTACAGTGAAAAACACACTTCTGAGGAAAAGCCATTATTATACCTACTTGATCACCTGCACTGCCATTCTTTAAGCTTGAAATAGTCACTGTTCTAAGCCTGTTCTAAGCCTGTAATGTCAGACTTAACTGTAAAATTATAGAACAACAAAAAATGGCCAGAGGTAGGGTTTCCTTTTAAGTAAGAATAGCTTAGAAGCAACGTGTTTAAAGCTTCATGTCATAGGACTTGTACTATATATGTTTGCTAGTTTGGTTTTCATTAACAATAATTAAAATAATATAACCGTGACAAAGTGGGTTTGGGTAAAACATTTTTCTGGTTAGGCAGAAACTTACCTCCAAACCAAAGCCTTTCTGTTTTAAGCTGTTTGTGTAATTACAGGGTGTAGGAAAAAACAAGATTGTGGACAGATTCCTTCACCTGCTCAACAGACCCCGAGAATATATCCAGTTGCACAGGTAAGAGAATAAGAGCCATGAACTCTTAAGATCTTATTAAATTGTTCCTCTCTCTCCCAGTACCAAGTAAATGTACTTTCTTAAAGGCCCATTTTACAAACCTATTTCATTCCCATTACACCTGCTTGTCTCTCTCCTTTCCTTAAAAGGTTATAAGGGACTGGTGAGCGGTTCAGTGGTTGAGATAACTTTTTCCTCTTGCAGAGGACCTGGGTTCCATTCCCAGTACTCAACATGGTAATTTATAACTGCTTGGAACTCCAGCTCCAGGGAATCAAACACCATCTTCTGGCCTCCATGGGCCCCAGAACTCACATGGTACATATTCATATACCCAGGCACACATACACACATATCAAATAAATAAGTCAGTCTTTTTTTAAAAAGGTAATTAAACCATGCAAAATTTACTTTTAAAGTAAAGAACATTTTTTAAAGATAAATTAATAGATGTTTTATGGGCAGAAAGTAATTAATATTACATCTAGGTGCCTATCTCATTAACATCAAAGCACTCAGGTTAGAAGGAAAATATGTGGAGTCTAAGCATGTTCTGACCAGGAGTTAAAATAGCTCACAGGGAGACACAGCAAACTCTATGGGCCTCAGTGTGTGAGAAGAGGAACACAGCGTGGAAGAAGGATCCAGTTAGTATCTCTTGTTTTCCTTAAAACATTCTATGAGTATTTAGCTTTGTGTGATTAGAGTGTTATTTCAGGGATAGCTTTTAAGCAAATGAAGTTTCTCAATATGGATCATCTTAAGCTTTATCACTGGACCTATTCCAATTTAAGAAATAAAATGTAGGCAGTAGATCTCATAGAAACTAAATACTAGGGCAAGGCAAGAAATATACCCAGCATTGAGCAATTTAAAACTAACTTAGATTGTTATTGGTTTTATCTCGGGAGATAACAAATATTGTGTAGTGGGAAGAGCACTGGATTGTCTTAAAAGCATTAATTTCTGGTTTGAGTTCTTCTGAGTTCCTAAGAGAGAATTGTAGGAGACTTAGGGTATATGCTGGATAGTGTCAGTTGTCAACTTACACACCTGGGTAGAAGGAGCCTCAATTGATGAATTGTTTCTGTTGGATTTGCCTGTGGTTGTGTCTGTGAGGCATTTTCTTAATTATTTCATGATGTGGGAGGGCCTAGCTCACTGTGGGCTGTGCCATCCCTGGGCAGGTGAGCCTTTGTTGTCTAAGAAAGGAGGCTAAGCACAGGCCAGGGAAGCAAGCTGGTAAACAGCGTTCCTCCATGGTCTATACTTCAACTCCTGCCTCCAGGTTCCTGCCCTGACTTCCTCAGTAATGAACTGTAACCAGAAATGTAAGATAGAATAAACCCTTTCCTCCCCAAGTTGGTTTTGGTGTTTTTATCATGGTAATAAAAAGCTACTGAAGACAGGGCAGTTAGCTAAGGGTGAAGGGACAAAGAAAAAAAACCAAAAGGAAAGCTAAGATATGGTAAAAAGCAAAACAGAAATTCTCTCCTGGGATTTGTACTTGCAACTGTGAGATAGTAGTGGCACCAGAGTAAAGAGCAGTAAACCTGGATAGAGTCACAAACCTGGGAAAAGAACCACCAGGTTCTGCTGCTGAGCAGCTGTTACCTGATCTCCACATGGTTAGGAGCCTTCATTAAGCACCTGTGGTGCTGGGCCAACAGCCTATAAAGCTTCTGCTTTTTATCTATCCTTATAACAAAAGCTACTCTGTTCCTATCCTGAAAAGTTTTAACTATAAACCCTGAAGAAAACAAGCATGCTGGTTGTGTTAGTACACATCTATAATCCCAGGCTGAGGCACAAGCACGTATTTGAGACCAACCTGATCTGTAAAGTGATTCTTTCTCAACAACCAAAAGAAATCAAAACCAGAAACAAAACAAAAAAGCAGCAAAAGGAAGAAAGTAAACTAGCTTATCATTTATATTGGTTTGGAAGGTCTTTCTTATTCAAAGTGACTTTAAAAATTAAAAGGATGGGTATTGGGGAGGCAGGGTGGAATACATTGAAAAGAGTCAACCTTGACTAAGTAATTACTAGATATGCAAAGAAGAAAATGAATGAATATAGACTGAAGATGATGGAATTAGCAGGCAACAATTATAAAAGTTTTTTTGTTTGTTTTTGTTTTTTTGAGACAGAATCTCCCTGTAGTCCCAGCTGGTCTGGAACTCACTGTGGAGATCAGGCTGACCTCGATCTCACAGAGATCCTACTGCCTCTGCCTCCCAAGTGCTGGCATTAAAGGTATGCACCACCACACCTAGCATATAAAATAGTTGCCACCAATATGTTCAAGTATTTTGAAAGAGGTTTCCTCTGAGAAAAACGAGACAATACTTAGGAATTCTCAGCCCAGAATGACAACCCTAAAAGGGGGAAGTCTCCAAAGAGAGGAGGTAAAAAAGGTCAGAAAAATATTTGAAGACATAGAGTGCCAAAATCTTCAAATTTGCTGTAAAACATGGAGTCACCAGTCTGGGAAGTCCAGTGAATATCAATCATGATAAACAAAAATGTAACATGTCACATTATAGCTAAATGGCCAAACACCAAGTAAAAATAGTTAAAGGTAGATTATATACAGGGGAGTAATGATACAAATGACTCCTGACTTCTCATGTGTGTGACCAATTGTGGAACTCTGTAATAGACTCTGGTGCAAGAGAAACGTCTTTGATGAGTGGTGACTGGGATATTTGTCTGTAAATATAAGGATACATATTTTGCACATAGTATGAAATTACATTAGTCTATGGATGTGACAGTCTTAGGGCTTTCCCTAAGATCTGTGACCTCTCCAGCCATGTGTATTTGGCTATGTTTATAGTACCAAACATGAGTTTCCTCCTATTAAGTGAGGAAAAGCTGATTTTCCTAAAGTAAGGGACTCTAGATAGGCTGACTAGACCTCAGTAGATGAATTTGCACTGAGGAATGTCTGGGGACACTAATTTGACACAATAGGGCTTAATACAAATGACAGAATATATGAATTCCAGTGGTGCAGTGGTGGAGGTATGGGAGAGTGCCAGGGGGGAACGGGTATAAAGATGATTAAGATTGATTGAGAAGGCCTGGCATGGTGGTGCACGCCTTTAATCTAGCACTCAGGAGGCAGAGGCAGGCAGATATGTGTGAGTTCAAGGCCAGCCTGGTCTACATAGTAAGTTCCAGGCCACCTGGGGCTATAGGGAGATCCTGTCTCAAAAAGACCAAAAAAAAGATTGATTGAAATGTTCTGTATGAAATATACAAATGTTCAATTAAAACAATTTTTTAAAAATTTCTCTTGGAGATTTGGATTCTTCATCTCTAAGTGAAAAGAATAGACCTGGTATCTATGATATCTCTGATTAATGCTTAAATGTCTGAGTGAAGGAGATGGTACTCAAGGTGCTTTTAAAAACTTAGAGGATTGGAAATCCTGCTCATTTTTGCTTTAATAGCAGCATTTTGTTATGAAGAAACAAATGGTCCATAAAATAGTAGAGTTGCTATCTGCTAGTTTATATTCTGTGATAATTCCAACACTGGCTAAGTAAAGGTGTAGATGTATTCTCTATGAAAAATTTTCTAAATTCAAAATGTCAGAAAATTGCCAAAGCTAAATGCTTATATTTTATAGCATCCATTGCTGTATAACTGATCAATAATAGTATTTCAAGTGAAACAAGCATTCATTTTAACAGGTCCTAGGTATCTTACTCAACAGTGTTGAATATTTAAGTTATAAAAATTTAGAAGTGAAAAAGCTCAATTTAAAATGGATAATACCCAAGAATTTTTGCTAATAGACTGCAATTCCCAGTAATTTCAATGTAGGAGATTTTTTTCTCTCTTCTGTACAGCATGAGGGCTACATTTAACATAGAATTTAAACTCATATAATAGCTTTAAGAGAAACATATGTTTAAAAGCCTAAATATAGCCATCTGAAAGAATATTTAGCAGTTCATTGATCTGTAGATGATCTGTCTACAGTCTTGCTTTGTTTGTTCTAGAATCCTTCTAATGGGTTTATGATGTTACCATCTGAATAATCAGTCCCTCTCAATTTGGCTTATGGATGTCTTTTGAACAAGATTAGTTACAAAAGCCATTAAAAACAATCTTGATAAGTAAAAACATCACCAAGCACACATGAATAAACCACACAACCAGAGTACTTTTAAATCTTATGAGGTTATCTTTTGATGATCATATTTCATAAAATGAACAAGCTGGGCAATTCATATATTTAGTTAAAATCAAGATGTTGTCTTAGGGATATGATTTAAGAATTTAAAAGGTTAATGGGTATAATGACTTTTGATTATATATATTTCAAACAAAAAGAGTCAGTAAGGTTCACATTTGTACAGAGATTTGGGAAGTATATTTATTTACTAATTTTTTATGATCTTATGTTAATTTGATATGAAAAAAGACACTTGAATATTTAACTTCTATAGTTACATTTCCTTCTTGGATAAAAGTATATGTCAGTATTAGAATCAGAATTGTCTTAGGTGAGTTACCAAATTTGAAGCTGACAGCACAGGTCCACATGCTCTTGGCTATTTTCTTAACCGTGGTACCCATGAGAAATTCAGAGACCTCAGATCTTCATGTATAGCTCTGACTTTCTCTTTCAGTAGAGCTTTCTCCACCTTTGATCAACTTGTTCCAGACTGGATGATTCTGTATCCTACTCACAGTCTTAAACTTGAGTAGTTCATGCCTATCTTTATTCTTTCATTCAGAATGTTCCCCATTTTCCCCCAGTCCTCCAAAAGTTTGGTCCACTAATAACTCCTGATTGCATCTTTCCTGATGTTTCATTGTGTGTACAGCTTTTCCCTCCTCTGAATCTCCTTAGTAGTGAATTGTACCATTGTGATAGAAAGAATAGCAGTTTTAGAGATCATATCCTGTCTTCACAAACTTCTGTGCCATCTTAAACTCCTTGAGTCCTAATTGCCTTACCTATTAAGTTAAAATGATTCCTT